TTAGCAGCAAGTCAATAGATACTCTCATAAGTCAAAATATGTCTGTAAAAATAATTACCCGAATCTTTTGTTGGTTTCTTTCATCTTGCTTATTAACTTCAGAAAGTTCTTTTGGAAATCAATTACCTAATAGTGAGAAAAAAGATCAACCTTTCAGCAACTCTTTTAATTTTACTTTAGTCTTTTATCCTAATATACGTCATCAAATTGCATTAAAATTTTACTTTAAAGTTGCACATGTACATGTGATTATGACTATCAAATATCAATGGTATACCCACAATTATTATCAAATATTAGTGTTATTTTATGTATAGCAGTTTGGGTGGTTTTTTAAAAAAACTTTCCTTTTATACTTTTCTGCTTCTTGAAATTCTGATCATGGGTATACATTACTTTTTAATTTTAATTTTTAACTGAACTGCATATGACATATATTCGTTTCAGGTGTAGAACATGGTGACTTAGTGTCTTTATACATTACGAAAGGATCACCACAATAAGTCTAGTTACCATTGGTCACCATACAAAGTTAATACTACATTTTGTTGATATTATGTTGTTTTTAAAAAAGCAAAGTCATCTTGTTGTATAAATAAATAGCTAAAGAATAAACGTTAATCACAAGGCCAAAAAAATCCCATGAGAATAAATTACTAGAAATTAGTTACTATCTCAGAAAGAAAGAAATAAGGAAGGAAGGAGAAAAGGAAGAAAGGAAGGGAGGGAGGGAGAGAGGAAGGAAGGAAGGAAAGAAGGAGGGAAGGAAGAAAGGAAGGGAAAGGAAAAGGAGGAGAGGAGGGAGGAGTGGGGAGAAGAGAGGGAAACCTTCCATAACCTAAAAGATGTTCAGGCCTAGGAAATGCTTACGGGCACACCCATACACAAAACACCTCCTTGTTTCGCCATGGGAGGCCTCACTGTTGCTGGGAGCATGTGTCTGCTCTCGCCCCGTTTGACTGTTGCACAATTCTCATTGCAGTGTTCTGTCAGCTGTGGTGTTGGAACCCAGCGAAGAAAGCAGGTGTGTCAAAGGCTGACAGCCAAAGGCCGGCGCGTCCCCCTCAGTGAGGCGGTGTGCAGGCATCTCTCTGGGCCGCCTCTCGTGAGATCTTGCCAGATGCCTGTGTGCAGGAGTAAGTATGGAAAGTCTGTGTGCCACCAGATCTGCTGATTCTGTTCATCTCTCCCAATGGCTTCATCTTCCCTAGAGCGACATATTTCTAATCTGTAGGTAAAGCAAATCATGCAGAACTCAGGACTGTTACAAGTGGCAACCAATATAACTTTGAAGACCAAGATATAGCTCTAAGAAAAGTCAGTTTTAAGACACATCCACCTGCTTAACAAATGCATCTTTAAGGTTTCCTCGCTTGAATTTATATTTCTTATATCCTCCCCTCCACTCTGATTTCTTCTACTTAGAATTCATGAGTGTTCCTTGTAGAAGTGAAGCTGAAATACTTTTCTGGCTGACTTTGCGAATGATACACTGCGATTCATTCTATTAAAGGTAGATGAGCTAAGTATTTTTAAGTACAAACATCTCTTCGTTTGTGTAATCTAAAACTAGCGTGGATGAAAACATGAAGTAGCTTTGTTCTTGTTTTTTTTTAAATGGCAGTTTAGAGACTTCTTCCATTTATTCTAAATAATAAGCTTTGTATAAAGAGTTAATATTATAGCTTCATTATATCCAAAAGCTAATATGCAGGTAGCGTTTGTCTCTGTCTTCGGCGTGCATGAGAGCGTGAATGCACGTGTGCATGGGCGTGTTTCATGTAGAAAGCTGACAAAAAATGAGTTGAGGCCTTCCCCTGCAGCAGTTGAAAATAAAGCAGCAGAGCGATGGTGGGAGGTGGGGGAGGGGGTGAGGAACAGGCACCCTGGGAACACATGGCTTCTGGGTCCGTCTACTGCTTTTGTTTCTCACTGTCTTTAATTATCCACCTGAAAAAAGAATACCAATTACCTAAGTAACTACCTCCTGAGCTTACGGTAAGAAAAAAAATCAAAAGTAACTATTATTTTAATGCTTCTTAGGAAGAAAAATATATATAAATACATATACATATATATATTCTCCTAAGTTTACCAACAACTTTCCTGGAGAAACTCACAAAGGAAAGTAAGAAAAACAATCATAGCTTGTTAAAAAAAAGTAATAGCATTTATAGCATTTATTGACCACTTATTCCGTGGAGTTCCTTGCAGGCATTATTGCATTATCTTATTTAGTTCCCAGCAATGTTGTGAGACAGGTATTATCCTCATTTAGAGAAGAACAATCCAAGACTTTGAGAAGGTATGAGACTTGACCAAGGATCCGTAGCTGCCAGTTGGACCTCTCGGCCTGTTTGACCACAAGTCTGTCTGAGTCCTGAGCCCACGCTCTTAGTCACCTCTCTATGGTGATTCATGGATAACATTCACTTTTTTTTCCCTGGGAATTCTTTGAGAACAAATTTTCAAAATCTTGAGATTCCAAAAATTTGAGATCCCAAGTTGTATGGTGTCCTGGAATCCGAGAATGTCCGTGGCATGTGGCGCAGTGTCATGCTTTAAGCTGTTTATCTATCTGATTTCTATTAATTGTGGATGGTTGCAGAGCCATGTGGCTACACCGTAAATTGCCTTAGAGGAGAGTGAAATTAAATTTTGGCAGCTCTCTCTAAAGTAATAACGGAATAACATGTGGGAATACATCGTGGTTATTAGGGCATGTGATGTGGTACAAGATGAAATTATAAATTATTATAGCATGCAGTAGAAAGTAGAAATGATAAGTTTTAGGGAGAAAAAAACAGGAAATAAGGCAGTAATATTTCTTCTTGACCCCACCCTACTCCCTAGCTTGCCAACACGTGGGTCATGGAAGCAAACAAGAGTCAAGAATGCATGCTCCCAGCCCAGCCAAGTCACCCTGAGCTGTAGCCTGGCCTCACGCCATCACTTTGGATCAGTGACCCTTGTTTGCAGAAATTTGGCTTCTCCGTCTGCACTCTCCTATGGCATCCTCTTCTCCCACCACCGTATCGGAGTCTACGGATGAGCCCAGCCCTCATCCATCCTCCTTTCCCCTGCTGTCTCCACACCCATTTCCCTCTGTCATCACACACTCAGCATGAATGCTGCCCTCATCCTACTTTCAAATGCATCCTGTGCAGACCTGCAGGACACTTGCTCCCTTTTTCCAGGATGTATCACCACCAGGTCCATTCTTTCCCTCCAACATTTGCCAGCATCCAGGACAACCGGCATCCATGCTGATGACTTTCTTATACCCTGATGCCCCAATTTCCCAACATGGTCACTCTCACTGACCGCCGTCACCTTGGTGTGGTGCCACCCTACACCTTCTCACTTCTTGGCACTCAGATACTTCCCTGCTCTTCCACTTTCCCCCACCTCACCCCTGCTGATTTAGTTAATGCCTCCCTGTGACCTCTGGTTCTTCCATCCCTGTTGTCCACAAACTTTCTGCTCTTGTACTAGAAACCATTCCTCTTAGTTTAACCGATTTCCTTGTCACTTAACCAATTCTATAGTCAGACTCAAATGCCTTTCCTTAACCCACCTGCCTCAATCACCCTGTTTATTTTCAACCCTGGTAGGTTACCTTTCAGGCAATTTTTGTTTGCTTGTTTTCTGGTTCTCTGACCTGAGCTACTGGAATTTACTAAAGGAAATAATATAGCCATACTGATGAACATACTTCATATTTACATCATCTGATCTACCTGGGAACTAATGTGTGGGGTCTTTTCCCCCCTGTTTCCTAAGAATTGCCTAGAAATCCGCCATCACAGCTATTTCCTAACTGGCGCACTGACCCCAAGTTCCCATTTCTCTACCAATGAACTCGTCTTTTATTCCAGCAGGAATGTCCAGGCTCTGTGGCTCAATGACCTTCTGACTGTCCTCTCCTTGACCTCACATCTGCCCGCTCTGCTCACCAGACTGGAAATGTATGATCTTCTTCATAGTTCTGACTCCTCAGTCATGGAAGGGGTCAGAAGACAGTAAAAATCAAGCCTGACTGTGCTGTGATCTTTATTCCCTTTCGAGGCTCCACTTCTAGAAATGTATCCTAATCAGTGTCTTGAGTTTAAGTAAAACCTTTCCTCTTTGGAGCAGTGAATTTTCTTGCTCTCTGTTTTGACCCTTTTAATGTGCAACAGGGTGGAGGGCAGCGGGGGAAGATATCTTGAGCTCCCCCTAGAGGCCAGTGGTGCACCATGCAGTCCAGTTATACCCCCAACTGCTGCTTCCCAGACCTTCCCTGCATTCTCCCACCACTGGCTTTTTACCCTTGTTTGAATTCTTCACTCCACCATATCTAGCGACAGACGTTCTTTCCATTCTTGAAGGACCAGTACAAACCATACCTTCCCCAGTAATCTTTCTCAGTTGCACTTAATCTCTGAAAGGTAATATGACATTGTGGTTAAGCCAGTTCACCTGAGTTCAAATCTCATTTCTTCCAGTATCTCATCGTGTGACATTGGGCAGGTGTTCAATCTCTGTGAGTCTCAGTTTTTTCATCTATAAGATGGGAGGAGCAATTGTACCTACCTAATAGAATTGTTCTGAGAATTAATGCCTAGAAAGCACTTAGAAATAGTGCCAGGCACATACTTTAGCCTCAACAATATTAGTTATTTTTAATGTCATTACCTCCTTCCTCTAATTCTTATTGTAGCTTTAAAAGAGGATAAAATGCGACAGACTAACGTGTGTTGTGTCTTTTGGCCCATTAGGGTATGAGCTTATATGGAGTAGGAACACAGTAGCTCTGGACATTTTTTCCGTTTGGGCCCCCAGTGTGCTTTCATAATGAGTTTTACCCAGAGGCCTACTTTTCAAACATGGCAGACTTGGCTCCTCCTCAAATTGCTATTAAAAGTCTACCTGTCTTGGTTTCCAATCAGGCATCTGAAGAAAAGAAAGGATAACAGGAATGTAGTGTTTGATTTTAGATTTTTTTAAAATTATGACTCCTGGTTTTAAGGGTCCCCAAGTGTAGGGAAAGAATTCTTATTTTTCACCCAAGGACTGACATCAGAATGGCTGAGGGAGGAGAGGCACCCAGGCAAGACCTATATGATTGATCCCCTCCCCGGGGTTATCTCGAACCTACTCCCTTCTTTCCAACTCTGTCTCCCTCCTTGTTCCAGCCAAGGGTCTGCTTCTGCAGCTCTCCAGGTCCTGGTCACACCTTGGACTTTACAACAGCATTCAGCCTTCCTGGCTTCCACTCTTCCTGTAAGCTTCCTCAGCTCCTAGTAATACCCACCCCCCACCCCACCTGACGTATCTACAGCCCTTGGAAGCCCAGCCAAGCGCAGAGCTATCTGGCCAGCACCCTTCTTGGGCTTGTATCACCTCCCGCAGCATCCAGCAACATACATGTTACTTTTCCTCTTGCTCAGTCATTCTTTCAGTTAGTCATTCTATAAACAGTAAGCGTTTACTATGTACCAGGCCCTATGCTGTGCCCTAAGGACAGGGATCATCTTTCTGCCCTGGCGTATATTGTTTTCAGTGTCAGATGATAGCATTTCTTTATTAATTCTTTCCAGCAATCATTCAAGTGCTACGTGATTTAGATGTTATGATACAAAATGAAAAATATTCATTTCCTTGTCTCTAAGAACTCATAGTCCAGCAGGAGAGACACATATGTAAATAAATAAGAAGAGTAAAGTGCCAAGGATGTCCTAATAGAATGCAGAAGCGCGCGATGCCCCTGGGGGAGGTCAGGAAAAGTTTCGTAAAGGAGGAACCTTTGAGCAGAGTTCTGAAAGATAAGTGTCCATTCGTCAGAACCACATGGCATACAGGAGAACCTGGGAAAAGAGAGCAGTGTAGACAGAGGTGGGTGGTATGTTTGGGAATATTGCAAGCAGTTCCACAGGATTAGAGCAGAAGTTGAAGATGGGTTATGATGAAGGAGAAAGCTTGAGAGGTTAGCTGTAGAGGATCTTGAACTCCATACTAAGGAGTTTAGATTTTATCCAAGAAGGAAGTGACATGGTCAGATTTTATTCTGGTTTATTTACTCGGACAACTATATAGGTATACTGGAAGACTATGAGAGTGCAGGCAGGGGGTCTAGTTAAGGGAATATGGCAATATCTAGGGGAGAGAGTGTGAGGATGGAGGCAGTCAGGATGAATTCTAACAGTGTTTCAGATGTCCCATCTAAGTACCTGATGTCGGGCTAGAGTTGGGAGCTAAAGGGACAATGGTGTGCTTGCAAATACTTAACAACCAGCTCTGGGGCAAGAGGGTGGGGAGGAGGGGGAGGCTGCTGGCATTTGTTACCTTTGCTGATTTCTGTGGTGTAAACAATCCCATCACGGCTCGCTTCCGGGTACCAATGTGACATCATTGAATGCAGAGTAGGAAATGGATACTAACCCAATCTGTGAGTCAGTGAGCAGTAGGGCCAGCATACCACTGGACAGGGAGGAATCAAGGTGACTGGTTTCTGCCTTGAGGAAATTGGTAGAAGATGAAACCATTAACTTAGGGTATATCGGAGGAGGAGAATCATTGGGATGAGATGGGGAGGCAGAGATAATGTGTTCAGATGGAAGTATTTTAAAACTGAAGTACCAGGGAGAGAGTTCTAGTAAGCAGTGAACAGTTAGGTCTGGAGCTCCCGAGAGGAGACAGACCAACTTGGGAGGCATCAACCTAACTTTGTTAGTTACAACTCCAGGTTCACCCAGGGAAAGGCTTTCAGCAAGAAGAGAAACAGAGGAAGTGGCCACGCACAGACCCCTGAGGCATAGCCACAGCCAGCAGCACGCTGGCAATGAACAGTGGTTGGAAACCAGAAGAAGCGTTAAAACAAAAAAAAGTGGGGAGGAGAGATTTCTCCATGAACTGGGTGATTGAGGATGCCAGATGTCCTAGAAGGGTCACGTAAGAATACCGAAGAGGGGCATTGTGTTTGTCACTAGGGGACTGTTGGTGGCCTTTCCCTGAGAGCTTTTAGCAGGATGCTGTGAGCAGAAGCTAGACGACCCTTGGCTGAAAAGTGCCTGATAACCAAGGGTGGAGGCCATTCTTTCAGGTTGGTGAGACGTTTACCGTACGGTCTTCCACGGGGCTTCGGGGGGCTGCACAGCTCGCTTAGCGAGTCCACCCGCAGCATCCCTCGCAGCCGCCTCTCAGCTAGCTGTGCTGCTGCCCTCAGAGAAGCCTCAAGAGAACCCGAACAAAGCTGCCCAGGTTCTCGATAGAGCTCCCAGGGGTCTTCCATGCTGGTGGAAGGAGCGGGACTCAGCGCCGGCCAAGCCCCCTCTTGCAGGGCTGGACTCTGAGGGGCCAGGGTTCCAGCAGGGTCATGGAAAGCCCTAGAGGCTGATTTGCAGCCAGGGCCCATTCGGGAGTGGCAGGAGTCAAACGCTGGCGAGACCAAGTGCAAACATCCAGCGCAGATGGCTCGGGGCAGAAACCTGGCTTGGCACCAAGACTGAGAGTCATGGCCAGGGTATGCCTGGACTTAAGGCAGGACACAAGCAAGCGAAGAACAGAGGAAATTGCTGTAAACAGCCCCAGGCACCGGAGCTGACCTCGGCTGGGTAGGGCAGGCTGGCCCAGAGGCCAGAAGGAGACTTGATAACATGACAACCATCTTGAAAACAGCAACCTGGTCGATGACACAGTTCAGTGTTCATTGGATAGGAAGCAGACTCATCACTCAGAGGAAAGTATAAGGATTCCTGACGGTAAGACCACGAAGAGATCCTCCCGCGTCCTCGTTACTGAGGACACCTCAGGTTGCAAAGACTTCGGCAGGATTCGCACAGGAAACACAGATGCCGTTCCTTACTTTCCCTGCCCTCTTTCCTGGTAGCATCCCATCAGACTGCCTTTGAGTTAAGACGATGAGATGCCCTGGGGCTCCGTCTTTGCTGTACCTTTCAGTCGCCTGGAGAGATTTTAAATTCTGATAACCAGGCTGTTCCCCATAAGACAGAATTTCTGGAGGTGGGATCCAGGACATTGAGATTTTAATAATAATAATGATGATGCTGATGATGCTGATGATGATAATGGCAGCAACGTTTGAGAGCCGCTCAACGGTCAGAGTTGATACTGAAACTCTACATAACCAGTTTGTCTATACTGGTTGTTAAAGTATGGAAATACTTCCCAAAGGGTTAGTAAATAGCCTCTGTCGGAACCCCATGACTGTCTCCCAGCTGCTTGGACCCTTCTGCCAGGAGCCGTCTGACCTCCCCATCATCTAACAATGTTGGGAGAGGGAGCACCAGTGTTAGAAGCTCCTGGTCCAGTGCTCCAGTGGACATCTGTCTGTTCTGGCTGACTGTGCCCCTGCTGTACAGATTTAGTATTTGGGGCAGCATCTCTGCCTATAATAATGGATGAACTGTCGATTTAGCAGGAATCCTCTTCCTGCTTGTGATCACTGTTGAACAGCAGTAAGTTCAAAATTCTGTGCTGCCAACCAAAAGATAATCTATGTGCCGTGACTGGCGGAGGTGAGCTTGACCTCCTCTGCAGAGAATCTAGATCCCAACAGGGAGACGTGTATCCATGGCTGGTCATCCAGCTCCACTTGGAGATGAGCTGAGGGGAGCATCCACGGGCAGAACCCTAAACAAGGGGCCTGGCCTGCTAACTGCGTTGGTGTGGAATTTGCTTACAAACTCATACGCATGTCCCTCACCTAGAACATCCTCTACCATAGAAATTATGCATCCACCCCCATTATTTTCCTGAACCTGCTGGCACCATGACACCCCAGCAGGCAGCCAGATCCTAAAGGAATCACAAACCACCCAAGAGGAGTCCAGGAGTTGTCCTGGCAAACCAGGGTACCAGTAAACACACTGGAGCTAGTGCCTAGGGCCTGAGAAGTCCATCTAAGTGGAGTCTTAATCTGGTTCTTCTCCCAACATATCCCTGTCAGTGCTGCAACCAGGAGGGGTCATAACTGGGATCCTCCAAGGTGCTGAGGCCCCTCATCTCATGACGTGAATTCCACAATGCCTTCGTGGGAGTCCAGTCTCTCTTCTATCACTCCCTGGTGGCTCCAGGCCCTCCAGCCTATCTGCCACCATCTGCCCATGGACCTAAGTACATTTTCAAAGAGGAATCAGCCTTCTGCCCACATTACGCCCCTTACTTACAGCAGAATCATGCCAGGACACCTTGAGACCTTCCCGCAGGTGAACCGAGGGAGAGGAATACTCCTCCTGGGGGATGGGATCTGAGGAGTATCCATTCATCTATTCACTGGAGCCAGTGCCCTGGAACAAGTATGAGTCAGCCCGTCTCTGACCCCCTCAGATGGCCCTGTGGCCTGCTGGCTGGACCTGCCTTTGTCAGCCGACAGCAGTTGTATGTGAGATCTTAGGTGTGCCTGCTGCTGTGCTGTGCACTTGATGTAAATGCTCCAGCCTAACTGTCACGTTCCCCTGGTGAAGGTGCTAACATTACCCCCACTTTATAAGTGAGAAAACTGAGGCTCAGAGAGAGTAAATGACTTGTCCAAGTGGCAGTGGGAAGATTCAAACTCAGACTCATCTGGCTTCGAAATACCTATTCTGCCTTTTCTTCTTTCTTGAGCTCCTGTTTC